CCCCAAAACCCCAAAACCCCAAAACCCCAAAACCCCAAAACCCCTATCAACGTCAATATTATTGTATAAATCATTAAAAATTTGGTAATAACCATAAATAATATGGGCAGTACTATTTCTAACAAGATGGCGATCATCTTCGCCATACTGTGTATCTTGAGTACGGTTGCTGATGCCAGAACCCCTGATGATAAACTCTGTTCCACTGATGATGACTGCAGGACTCCTTTCTCCTTCTGTGTTAATAGCTTCTGAGAGCACAAGGATGTGTTTCCTATTGAATGGCAGGAAATAATCGGAGTTTTCATTATCTTTATCACCATATCCCTTGGAAATGCAGTAGGTATCGGTGGAGGTGCCATTATTGTCACTGTGGGAACTACCTTGTTCTACTTTACCATCAGACAGTCTGTTGCTGTTGCAACTGTGGTGATCTTCTTCGCTATGATTTCCGGATACATTCAGAATTTCCATGCAAGACACCCCTTGAAGAATGCTACATTGGTAGATTATGGAATTGTACAGTGCCAAATGCCCTTGATTGCACTTGGTACTTTCATCGGAGCTACTGTGAGTGAGGCAATCCCTTCAACTGTTATCTTCATTTTGCTCTTCTTAACTTTGCTATACGCCACCTACCACACATTTGCACTAGCAATTTCAACCAGCCAAAAGGAGGAAAGACTCAACGTAGAAAGGAAAGAAATCGGAGTAGCCAAAAGAGTTGATGCCATGCTCAGAAAAGATGAGAGAGGAGAGGATGTCATCCCAGGTAAGATTTTGATTTATTCCTTATAGCTGTTTCAAACGGAGAAGCCCAAGTTCCCTTCATGGATGATGCTCCAGCACATGTTAGAGAGTCCTTTGTTTCAGTAGTTTCAGAATCTGAAAATATCACTATCGATGGAGAAGTCGTCAGGCCAGAAGTCAAATTTGATGATGATGATATTGATAAAAGAGACTTAATACACTGAATAGGAGCTGCCAGAGCTGTATACACCCCTGAAGAGATCAACCCTGTCCTTGAAAAGATATTCCATGGAGAGAGAAGCCACTTTACACTTGACAAAGGGATCTTAGTACTAGTGCCCTGGGGATCCATTGTGCTGATCAGTTTATTCAGAGGCTCTCAAAATTTTAAGTCAGTTATCGGAGTTACTAGATGCAACTTCATGGACTTTTTCTTAATCTTCATGGAAATTCTAATCCTTGGATTTTTCGCTCTGATCAACATTGTTTTGCTTAAAAGAAGCCATGCAGAAAAGAAAGCTTACGGATACAAATTTGTTAGAGGAGATCTCATGTGGAACAACGAAACTATCTTTGCATTCGGAATCCTCGCCATTGTCGGTGCTCTTGTTGGAGGCCTTGTTGGTCTGAGCACAGAGGTTCTGTTTACTCCATTCTATATCCAATTTGGAGCTCCACCTTCAGCTGCTGGAGTGACCTCCCAATTCCTTGGAATCTTTGCCACATTGGGAGCAGCCACAGTTTACGCATTCAACGGATATATCTTATGGGGACATGCAATTTGGCTCGGATTTGTCGGTGCAGTCGCCACACTAGTGGGAAGTTATGAAGTTGGCAGATACTTTGGAAAAATCAACAAAGCTTCCTTCCCTATCTTCGTCATCGCCATTCTCGTTGCTGCAAGCTTAATCGCTGAAGGAATCACAGGAGTTGTTAGAACCATCAGAAGGAACAATGATGGAGAAGATATCTGGGCAATTGGAGCGTTTTGTCCTTAAAGTTTGGAATCATAAATTTTGTAGAAACCTTTTTAATTCTCTTCAAAGTTTCATTTTTATCAATTTGATTGAATTTAGTCATAACTACAAAGTTTCTTTGCTACTAGAACTAACAAATTTTAGTTTCACATTGTATTCCTTCTAGACACTTTGAGGAAGAACCTTACTGGAGATTTCAATTCAGCAAGGGAAAACACAGTCCGAACTTTGTCATAAGATTAGAATAGATTTCTAACTGATCGAAGGTGTTTATTATGGGTTTTCATTAGTAGCATTATGAGTTTTAGGCAGTCCTAAGAATGCATTAAGTGTTGAGAGGTGCAGAAATTGGCTAAAATCGCTTGCCTATGGTTCTAGTATAGGCCTTGCTTTGTTTTAAATAAGATAGGATATAGATCTATCATTTATTAAATAGCTTAGCTTTACTCCCAATAGTCCAAGTCTCAGCAAAATTTTATCAAACTTCACCAAACAATCTAAAACTCCCCCTCTACCTCCCAGACCAAGTTATCCCCCAATAATTCACCAAAATCAGGCCCAAAAGTAGCCAAATCTCCCATATTCCCAACTCTCCCACTTGAGTTACAAAAAATGCCAAATTTAGTTAGGATTTGACTACATTTTATTTTAAAAGCTGGGAAATTTATTGAGCTGAAGGACTGCAGTGGGGTTTTGGGGTTTTGGGGTTTTGGGGTTTTGGGGTTTTGGGG